GCGGGCACGCGAGCTCGCGTGCCCGCACAAATGGTTCTGCCCTAGGTTCGCCGTCACAGGTTTATGGGAATAATTCTTACCCGCCCTGCACATGCGCGTGCCTCTCAGATGATTTTTGGCCCATTTGAGGCCATTTTCACCCTCCCGGGGGGCTCGAGGGAAGCCTCTGCAGCCTTCGGAGGCTGAAAATCGGGCCCGTTTCGGCACTTCCGGTATTTCCAGAATTCAGCTAGGAGGTGCATGCATTGCAGTGTAGGTAACGCGGCGGAGGGGTTGAGCTCACATGCGCTGGGGGGGGGTGGAGCACATTGTATTGTGGGTGCTGGTGCACGCGCACTTTTTTCACACAACAAAAAGGTTCACCATCAGTGCCCTAAAACATTACAGGCAGTCCTTAACTTACAGCAGTTCTTTTATTGACCATTCAAAGTTAACGACGACCCTGAACATAAGCGACTTATGACTGCTTTTCACACTAACGACCGTTGCAGCATCCCACAATCACGCGATCAAATTTCAGACCCTCGGAAATCGACTTCATCTTTGTGACGATAGCACTCTCGGGGGGGGGGTGTCACATGATTTCCCTTTTGCGACCTTCTGACTGAGTTAAATCTGGGGAAGTGAGATTCATTTAACAACCAGGTTACTAACTTTTAACCGCAGATTCACTTTAACAACTGTGGTAGGAAAATGGAACAAAGCTCCACTTAACTGTCTCGCTGAATAGAAATTTTGACCTCCATTGTGGTCGTAAGTGGAGGACTACCTGTACAACGCTGCCAATTGTAAAGCTGAAAAAAACCCAAAATGGTGTCTGTTGGGACAAGGAAATCCTTACCCAGCGGTTCCATTGCTATAAAATAGGTTTGCGTTTCTCATCCAGTTCATTGATTGCTTCGTTCGTTCATGTGTTCAGTTTCTATAGTCGCCCAATTCAGCCAAGCGACGCTGGTTTAAGTTCATCATATTAGGACGCCATTGGACAAGAATTTTAGGCTTTAGTGGTAAGATTAGGCTGGGCTCCAAAATGAAGTAGGGTGTCAGGATTCCGGCAGTTCCCCTAATTAAATCATGAGTTTTGAGCCAAACTTCCAAAACTTCAAAGGATTTACTGGGAGTTAACATTGCCTGGGTACAGCCGACTCTGAGGCACATCATTCACTGTCATCCTTGACCCTGGTTTTCCCGCTACCCCCTGAGTGTATCCTAATTCATATCCTCCAATGGGACACCTCCATAGCCCAGAGTCCTCAGTCACGCTCTCCAGTTAGAATTCTGTGCAGCAGAAACTGCAGTCACCTAGTTACTACCTCTGAAAAACTACGTACAGAATGCGCTTTCGATTTCCAAGCTGCCACACTGTTCTTTCAAACCCCTCCCCCGCCCCCTTTTCTGTTGGCAACTCTAAAAAGGTCATTGAAATATTTTATGAGTTGACAAAGTATAATGCAGAGTATGGGCCCAATAGGGATCCAGGAAGCCATCCTGGAAGAAAAGATCAAACCAATCATCCCTTAGTTATTTTTTTTCCCCGTCATTTCATGTTATTAATTTTAAGGCTGATTCCATCAGGGCTGCAGTGGAAGAGCCAGCTTTAAGAATTTAAACCAAATTTAAGGCAAGGCTGGTTTTCATACAGATCTCTGCAGAGAGTCTGCCAGCACAGAAGGCCCATTTTCTAGGTCCCCTCAAGTGGCATTTTATTATTTTATTTTAATATTTAAAAAGCTATTAAACAAATTCTGCAATTAAAAAATATTTCCATTCATTGCAGCCTATTTGTAGTAGGGTTCACTCACCTTGACATATTAAGTTATAAAATACTATTAAATATGATTATTTTACATTTTATTTATGTCATATTTTCATATATTTACGTAGTTATTTACATATTTATACATAAGTATACACAGGTAAGCCTATTCATACCAAATTGTTTCGTCACACCATAACCTTTCATTTCATTCCTCTATTTTGTGTCTAATTTGCAGCCAATTATACCATAAATTCCAAATTTCGTAGTAGTCTACTCTCTCCATTTCCTTTGAAAGCCTATCCATTTCTGCCCACACTAAAACCCTTTTTCTTATCATAATATCAGAGCGAATGCTGTCCATCAAGTGGCATTTTAATTGACAGCACCCCAATTTTTATTTTTATTTTTTTTAAACCACCCTGTCATTCCTTAATTCGGGATGCAGTTGGGGCAACTAAATGGAGCTGAGCATTTGCTGGCCGGATTCTCTTCCTGATGCCTACACAGAGTTCCCAGCAAATATTTTCTCCTTGCACTCCGAGAGAGAAACATCTGCCGCTACCTAGGATTTGAACTCTCAACCTTCCAAATGGGAGGCGGAGTCTTCACCACTAGGCCACGGTGCTCCTGTGACGGGACCCAGAATATGCCTGATTAAGCAGAAACTGGCAGAAACCACGGGAGACAGGCTGGTCCTGTTATCTCGGGAATAGGTTTAGATAAGGTCACCAACCGGCAGTTCCAGGAAGGCAAGTGGCAATCAGTTTAGTTCTCCGTGCAGAAGGTCTTCCAGGACACAAACACTGTCTGTGAGTAGGAGTTGTGAGTCTGACTCGGGCTGTACACCAAGTGGCAACAACCCTTGCGTGGTTCCAAATTCCCAGAGCTGTTGAACGTTGTCAGAGTTGAACCAGAGTAAGTTCCTCCCGCAGAACCTCTGGACACGAGGAGCTAATGAGAGAGAGAGCTAATTGGCCATGAGAGCTAATTGGCCAAGGTCAAGGTATTGGCCAAGGTCAACCTATCATGCTAGTTGAGACAACCCATTGATGTCAAATATCAACAGTATTTGATAGTTGACATCAGTGGATGATCTCACTCAGCAGCCTCGAGTCAACCCAACTCAAAGGTATGAAGCTTGATCTCTTCTTCCACTCTACAGACACACCGATGGGATGTGACTACCAAGGAGGACAGTCCTCAACACTGGGCCTCCTGACTTCCAACAGGATGGTCCAGGAAGATATTTCAGTCAGTGGTATTCAAAACCATTGAGAGACCAAAGAGAACCGGTTGCCCTGGCTTTGCTGAAGGTCATCAAGCATGACCAACATCCTACCAGCATGGTGTCCTTGTCCGAAACCTGACTTGAGGACTAGATCATCGCTATTCCTCCAGGAATCTCTGATGAGCACCCCAACCTTCTTCTGGAGCCTGTCCAGGATTATTGTGACCAGCTAGGACCTCTTGAGGGGGGTGGTGTCATCCCTTCCATCAACAAAGCAATCGCCACCACATGGACTCCACCAACGCATCATCTTCTGGGTGGCTTTCACCAGCCAGTAGGGACACGTATGGAATAAAGGGTTGGCCAGGTGAAGAGTTGGTCATTGCGTTGACCTTGGAACTCCTAGACTTAGCTCAGACTCCATACCACGTGGGACAAGTGAAGTTCTCCAGAAGGATCATCAACCTTGGAGGCTCTCTCAGAAACCCGACGAGAGATTAGCCCAGCCATCTCCACCTTGGCAACTTTACGACTTGTGGACTTCCAACTCTCGGAAATCGTCCTAAATCACATTTTTCAGTGCCGTCGCAACTTTGAACGGTCACTAAATGAATGGTTGTAAATCAAGGACAACCTTAGCACAAAAGGGTGTGGATCCTTGTGCATCCAGTCACACTTGGCGAGTACAGAATTCTACCTTCTTGGAACTGCTGACGCCGTTCCAACCTCCACCATTCAGTCAGAACTGAAGAAGCTTCTTGGGGGAGAAGCGAAACGCCTTCAAGGAAAAACAGAAAAAGTCCAGTTGTCTTTTGGGGAAAAAAGCACTTTGGGGACACCCATGACCTGGATGACGGAGGATCTCTATAACATGCTTCCAAAAGATTTATACTCTCTAAGGGTTTATTTATTATATATTAATGTATTTATAGGGGGACACGGTGGCTCAGTGGCTAAGACGCTGAGCTTGTCGATCGGAAAGGTCGGCAGTTTGGCGGTTCGAATCCCCAGCGCCGCGACACGGAGTGAGCTCCCGTTACTTGTCCCAGGTTCTGCCAACCTAGCAGTTTGAAAGCATGTAAAAAAAAATGCAAGTAGAAAAATAGGGACCCCTTTGGTGGGAAGGCAACAGCGTTCCGTGCGCCTTCGGCGTTTAGTCACGCCAGCCACGTGACCACGGAGACGTCTTCGGACAGCGCCGGCTCTTCGGCTTTTTTCATGGAGAGGAACATTGCCCCCTAGAGCCATAAACAACTAGCACGTATGTTCTAGTCTTTACCTTTTAAGAGCTGCCCACCTCACATCTTGTGATCCTGAGCAGCCCTAAACAGGCTAGATAAAAATAACTCAATATCAAACAAAATCGGTGCAAACGATGTAGTTCATTTCAACAGTTCATTTAGTGACCGTTCAAAGTTAAACCTCCGCAACTGAGGGAAAAAAAAGTCACGGATGACCATTCTTCTCATACTTACCACCGCTGCAGCATCCCCACAGTCAACGTGATCCAAATTCAAACGCTTGGCAACTGACACGGATTGATGATGGTTGCAGGGTCCTGGGGTCATGTGGCCTTCTGACAAAATCAACGGGGGGAGCCAGGCTCACTTAAACCGGGTGGCTAACTTAACAAATACAGTGATTTCACTTAACAACGGTGACAAGAAAAGTTGCAAAAGGGAAGAAAACTTGCTTAACAAATGTCTCAGCAACATAAAATCTGGGTTTGATTGTGGTTGTGAATTGACTACCTGTACTGTGTATTTATAAGGGTTTATTGGATGGATGGATGATAGACGATGGATGGATCGATCGATCGATGGAGGATAGCTGATTGATGATGGATAAATATAGATAGGTAGATAAACAGAAGATGGATTGGATTGATAGATGATGATGGGCTGGATAGATAGATACTGGATGGATGGATGGGTGATGATGGATGGATAGATGATGATAGACAGACAATATAGATAGATATAGGTAGATGAGAGAGATACAGATAGATACATAAATGATGGATAGAGATGGATGGAGAGATATGAGAGAAATGGTTAGATGATGGAAAGATACAGATGAGAGAGATACATAGATGAGAGATGGATAGGTAGATGATAGACGATGGATAGATCAATGGGGGATAGCTGATGGATAGATAGATATAGACAGGTAGATACATAGATGATGGATCGGATTGATAGATGATGATAGGTGGCTGGATAGACGATGGATGGATGGATAGATGGATGGATGGATGGATGGATGGATAGATGATAGATATAAATATAGGTAGATATAGGTAGATGTACAGATGAGATACAGATAGATACATAGAGAGAGGATCCGAGAGAGATGGATGGAGAGAGATGAGAGAAATGATGGCTAGATGATGGAAAGATAGATAGACAGATGAGAGAGATACGTAGATGAGAGAGATGGATAGGTAGATAATAGATAGATAGCAATTGAGAGAGAGAGAAATGGTGGTTAGATATACAGAGGAGAGAGGTGGGGGATAGACAGTGGATTGATGGATGGATAGATGATAGGTGGATAGACATGATGGATGGATGGATGGATGATGATGATACATAGAAGATAGAGATAGACACTGTAGATAGATAGATAGATAGATAGATAGATAGATAGATAGATAGATAGA